CGGACCGAGCGAGATTTAAAGCCGTAGAGCCAATGTTTTTATTTTTCAAAATTTAAAAACGAGTTTAAAGGCTACTTTTTAAAACATTAAAATGCCTGCAGACGATGAAAAACACAGTGAAAACGAATTTTACTATCTCACAAAAGATATTTCTCTTCCCGATAGCATTGATATAGAAACGACGTTTTATTTGGCATCTTCATTCGCGTGCGGGAGGAGTGATTGGGGAAATCCAGAGAAGGAATTAAAAAAAAATAAAAATATTATTTACCGGTATGGTCGGTCCGTATAGAGAAATATTTCTCTCGGTCTTAAAAACGTCCTTCGGCCTCGGGCCGTTTTTAAGACCTCGAGAAATATTTCTCTATACGGACCTCCAATCCGGTAAATAACATATATATATTTTAGTCTTAAATATTGAAGTGTATATCGTAACCCTGTAGGGAAAATGCCAGAAGCGCCCGATTTAAAGAAACGGATCATGATCTGTCCAATGCGTATGTTAATAAGCACTTTCATGAAAATCTCAACTTCCAGATGTTGTTTTAGCACGGAAAACATACCCTGGGTGTCCGGATATCCAGCTTGCACGATTCACCTTTATTGCATGCATGTTAAATAAAGTGCAATATATCGGCGCTGTGGCCTGTGGGTGCCAAAGGTTTTTCCACGCTCGCAAAACAAAACACGTCAAATAGCAAGGGGGTTAATTATATGTGTGGTATTCCTGCGAGCGCGACTTTTGGCACCCAGGATAGGGAAAACAATGATTTAAGTGCATCATTTTGTTTTCCACCTTTTTTAAGGTACGCGAAATTACTACTGCGGAAATTATCGCACTTGGACTGCGCGACGGCCAAACGAATTTTAGTACAATTAATGTTAGTAGAGTATCCGGATATGTCGCCTGATAATGTGTACATATGTGTATATTTATTTTCGTCTGAGAAACGAACGACAGATGACCCGTCTCTATATTTACAGTACAAAGTGGCGAAGTTGAAGTATTTCACTCAATTTTACATTTTCTGCACGTAGCCAGCCAACCTCTGTCACCTCTTCAGGGGTTCTCTTCAGTTTAAACCGGCAGCCCCTAGCACGAAGTTACCTGCACTGTCTCTAAATTGCCGCACTTATACAGGACAAACTATCCGACCAATTGCCTATTCTTTGCTGCATGAAATTAGTATAAATTGCAATAATTTAAATTTGAGAGCGAAGCAAAACTTTCAGATGACATTAAAACGTTTCCTGTTCATCACCCCAGAATGCTGACATTGTGGGCAGTTGATTCGTCAAGATGACTTTATAATTTGTCGCAAAGATCATTGTTTTTCTTTTCTTCGCTCGTTTGATATCTTCACCATTCTTTCAAAATTGTCGATATCTTTCATAGCCTGTAGTCCTTCATCTTCCATATCATTTTTATCATCATCAGCATCAAAACTTGATCTAAATAGAAAATAAAAAATATATATATACTGTGTACCGTATTTTGATTGGGATGCATGCATATAGTTAAACAGAAAATCGAAACAAAGACCGATCAGGATCTGCAACCCGTCAAGACGTTGCAGTTTTTTACTTATTTCGCAGTTTTTGACTTGTTTTGCAGTTTTAAACAACTATTTTGCAGGCGCAAAACAAAGAAATGTGGTTTCAGTTACAACGAAAAAACACCAAACACGACAACGCTTGCATAACGTAATAGCGCACCCTTACTGTTACAGTACCACACATACAAACAGCTTAACAGGTAATAACATGACAAACAGCAACAAATAAATTGCAAAACAAACTAAATTTGTTGACTTGCCGCGTCGTAGATCTTAGACTCCCTATTATTGCCGTTCTGTTGCAGTCCACTGCTTTATGAGAGTGAATGTATGTTAATGATTGTACAGTATATTCAAATGTTTGGAATTATATTGTTTTCAAAATATGGAGGTCTCGTGTATTAGCATATAGCATGACTCCACAATGATTTTTCGATTGCACAATTTCATAGCATGATTCCACAATGATTTTTCGATTTTCACTGACCGATATAACTTTGATGTTGGTTTAAGTTTTTGAAATATTTAGAAGCGCTATAACATTTTGAGTTATTTGGTCTACATATCTTAGTTTTGAAGTTTCCTTTCATTAGCTGTTTTATTAACTTTCAAAAGTTGAAAAATCGCGTCGCGTCCGATGTGTTTAGGCCTTGGCTTAAGTGGGTATGGCTAGCTTCGCCACTGAGCTGTATACAGAATGTCGGTATACAAACTTCACTTGTATAATATAATATCGTATTTGATAACGTCTTAACTTACAATTAACGTCTTAACAAGTCTTAACTTACAATTCATCTACAAAAGTTCCTTTACTGCTCTCTCTTATATTTTCTTTCTATAGAATTGAAATTATACAACAATTTAAGCATAGCCTATCGAAGGGAAGATGGCTGTGAAACTCATTAGAATAACAATATAACTCATTATGATGTTAGTCAACGTTTATTCATAAATCTGGTCGTTTCACCGTCACGTGTAGCCTCCTGCGCAGACGTTGTTAGTGGCTCGGCCACTAACAACGTCTGCGCAGGAGGCTACGTCACGTGTGTATTGTATTTTTACCAAATCCACCAATAGCAATTTCCAGTTTCCCTATTGTTCGAGTCACGGATAGGTGACTTTCCTAAAACATTGTTATTGGTTAGTTGGGCAAAAATACAATACACACGTGACGGCGAAGGACGACCAGATTTATGAATAAACGTTGATCAACATAGATAATGAGCTATATTGTTTAAGAAGGCTGCTTTATACCCGACTCTCAAAAAGTCTGTCACGGACTACGAAGAATTTTCCAACTTTCGTCCAATCTCTAACTTAAAGTTTATTTCGAAGATGACTGAAAAAGTGGTTTCCTTACGTCTATTGCATTATCTTCGAAGCAATGGCCTCGAAGAACTATATCAATCTGCTTACAAGCAATTCCATAGTGGTGAAACAGCACTTATTCGTGTACAGAACGACATTTTACGTGAGATAGATGGAAACTCGGGTGTCATACTACTACTATTGGATCTATCAGCTGCGTTCGATACGGTGGATCATACGATCTTGCTCCAAAGAATGTACTCTAAATTTGGCATCAAGGGTGATGCATTAAACTGGTTCAGGTCCTACCTATCTGATCGTTCTCAGACTGTTTATGTTAATGGCGCTACTTCAGACAGCTATGATGTGTTTTGTGGTGTTCCCCAAGGATCAGTCCTAGGTCCTATCCTATATCTGATATACACTTCACCGATAGGAGACATTTTACGATCTCATGGCATGAAATTTCATCTATATGCCGATGACACTCAAATCTATGTCTCGTTCAATTATAAAGATCAGAATGACCTTAAGCAAGTTAAGTCGTGCGTAGAAGCCTGCCTCGTGGATATTATGAACTGGATGTCAGAGAATAAATTAAAACTTAACACTGATAAGACGGAACTTCTTATTTTGAGTTCCAAATTCCGGGCAGAGCCTATATTCCCTGTGTTGACTGTGGGCTCCGATATAATTACTCCAACACCCCGCGCTCGGAACATTGGTGTTACATTTGATAAATTTCTTACAATGTCTATACATATTAATGACATATGTAAGTCAGCATTTTACCACCTACGGAACATTGCTCGTGTTAGAAGATACCTGTCGATGCATACTACTGAACAGCTTATTCATGCTTTTGTGACTATTAAACTAGACAATGCGAATGCATTGTTGTACGGTCTTCCTAAGGATCAGATTGGAAAGTTACAGCGTGTTCTAAACTCTGCAGCACGACTGTTAACTGGATCCCACAAGTATAATCATATTACACCTATTTTAATACAGCTACACTGGCTACCAGTCGAGCAACGGATTATATATAAGATTATTTTATTGACATTTAAAGCGTTAAATGGACTTGCTCCACAATACATTGCGGAGATGATCAGCCATTATGAACCTTCTAGGTGTCTTAGATCCTCTAAAGCTAATTTACTTAATGAACCAAGATTTAATGTAAATAGCTACGGTGGTAGAGCTTTTTACGCAAGTAGTCCTAGGTTATGGAATAAATTACCTGTCTCTATTAGAGCATGTACAGATATTTCTGAATTTAAGAGTAAGCTTAAGACCCACATGTTTAAAATACAGGTAGCCTATGATTTATAGATGTATATAAGTTTATAAGTATATATAAGTAATAATTAGGAAATTTGTTATATTTTATTGTAAATTTCTAGATTAATGAATGTAAAGCGCTTAGATCTATGTGTTATAAGCGCTATATAAACTTGTGATAATAATAATCTACAGTCCGATCTGCGCATGTGCACAAATGAGCCCACTTTTTATGATACAAACAGTTTAACTATGTTTTGAGTTCTTGAAAAGCCTGATTGTTGTTTCTTGATCATTTATTATACTCTAGAAGCTTGAAAATATAAATAGTTGTCGAATAAAGCTCAATATTTTGGACACAAAAATGTAAACAAAGGCTTTGTTTACATACGGACTGTAGATCACCTTTAAACTCCCTAATGGCTCGATTTACTTCTGGTCGGCGTTCATCAATCAAAATGTTGCTTGCTTAACCAGCGTGGTCTTTTCATTTTTATGATGTATGTCATACAAGTGCACTTTTATGTACGATGTATATCATCATACAAACACATTGATAACCTAACCTGACCGCCACCCCGCCATATGGCATAGATAATATACATAATGGCATACATAATGAATAGATAACAGTATGCACATATGTCAACGTGGAAAAAACCGCTTGGCGAATTTTTTCGATAACCAATCGCATTTGTTGTTCGAGATTTGTTGTTCGCAATTCGTTCCTGGAATTGCGACACAATTAATTTCTGGCTTCATTTTCAAGAAACTGATCCGTGCCCGATCTAGTCTTATGTCAAAATATGTCAGTTTGTAGACACACGGTAATAACTATGCATATCCTAATAGTGAATATGATTATCGCCCAGCATTGCATTAGCTTCGTGACTAATTATAATTTATGTATGATTAAAATCGACAATTTGTGTGATAAACGTTTGCTTTGTATCATACCCTAATCTTTTAATTGGTTTGTATGCGTCAGCCTTGTTTCTTAATCACGTAAGAATATTTTCTTAAAATATATGTTCGTGTTGAAACAAACATTATTTCAGTCATGCCAAAGCCATAAACGTGCTTACGTCAAGGATCAGGAAAATTATTAAGCCAACTACAAAGAAAAAAAAAATTGTGCGATATAATTTATATGTGCATAATTTGTCGTTGTAAATATCTTGACATATCTATGAAAGCTGAAGAAAAAGTGACTGAAGCATTTAATTTACTCAACGAAGAATATTAATTCTCTCGATTTTAATACTGGTGTAAACATAGTTGGTCCTCAATATTCCAGAACTCAAACCAGCAAACAGCTTTAATTGTTTT